CTGTTAATAAATGGTGCTCATGTGTTTTGTACTAAAATCTGTATTTGAAGCTAGTCTTACCACGCTAACATAAAGGGGTAGCCGTATTAGTTTGTTAACTTTAAAAACAATGAGTAATCCTGTGACACCTTAGAGCATGTCTACACTAGCTAATTATTTCAAAATAACTAAATTTGAAACAACTGCTGAAAGAACAAAATCAAAATTGTGTCCCCACTACAGGGGAGCCTTGAAATTAGTCCGAGGCAGGCTCTGTTATTCTGAGTGCACTAAATTGACTTAGAGCTCTAGGAAGCACTGGGGAGTAATTACTTTGAATAACTCTGGGGATTCGTTATTTCGAAATAGCAGCAGTGAAACATCTAAACTATTGTTATTTGGAAATAAGCAAGGAAAGCAATTTCATAGATTTCAAAATAACCAGCCCATTATTTCAAAATAATGAGGTTGGTAGTGTGGGTACTCTGCTTATTATTTCAAAATAAGGAGGGATATTTGAAAATAATTCTCTAGTGTAGACCTGGGCTTAGAGCAGAGGTGGGGAACCATCTTAGGGTTTGGGTCCACTCATTCACAGAAAAAATCAGTTGGAGGCCACACACAAGTGAAAAGCAAAAAAAAAAAAAAAAAACCCGAACTCCCCAAACAAAACAAAACAAAACAAAACAAAACAAAACAAAACCGGTGATTAATGTGGCTTCTGACTGAGAAAGAGAAAGACACTTCTGCAGGGCAGTGGTGGGGCTGGAGCACCAGTGCAGACTCCCCAGTGCTGGGGCGGTGGGGCTGAGCCTCGGGCCCCAGATCCAGGCAAATGAGGGGCCGCATCTGGCCTGAGGTTCCACAACCCTGGCTTAGAGACTAACTATATCTATATATCTCATGAGCTTTTGTGGGCAAAACTCACTTCTTCAGATGAGATGAGCCTGAAGAAATGGGTTTTGCCCATGAAAGCTCATGATCCTACATATATATTTTAAGTCTCTAAGGTGCCACGGGACCACTCAATGTTTTCACACAAATATAACATGTTTTGTTATTATATAATGTGATTGCGTCTCCTTAATTTAAAAAACAAGAATATTTTGCTTTGCTTATTTGAGAGCAATTTTAATATATAATATTTTCATTTCTATATCATGCCTTTCTACCCCAGGGATTTCAAAACTCTTCAAACACTTCACAGCTCACTCTTTTTCTTTTGCTCTAAAATAATCTGTATTTGGATATAAAAGAACATGCTTCTGCATCAGTAACTAGCATCTGCTACTACACAGTATGTACTTAATCTGCCTTTGAAATGCAGCCACCTCTGAGGCAAAAAGCAGCTGCTATGTCATAGCTTACATTATGCAACAGTTTAGGAGTAAAACTATAGGCATAGTAAAATAATTACATAGTATATGGATGAAAAAACAGGCTAGTGAGTGTTGCCTACGAAACAATATATAAATACAGTTCACACTGTGTAGATATATTTTATTTAGAAATGTATATCATCACACACTGTCAGCTGTTTTTTCATTAATAAAACCAATCAATATATTACAATATGTTGTAAATAACTAGAAATAGTAAATACAAATTGAATAGATGTATATGAGCACTGAATTTAGTTACCAGATGCCAGAAATATAGTCAATTATGGAGATGGAATAGTATCAAAAATTCCATCAAGAACCCGCCTTGATGTTGAGTTAGTGGCTGTGCTCCTTTCTAAATTGTTGCAATTACACCAGCTGTTCCTATTGCTGCCTTTGGTTAAGGTATTATATATCAGTATTGATTACTTCTATAAAATTCCTGCTAAAGATAATATTTTTGCCTGAGAAAAGACTAGGTGTTATACATAGAATATGTCTATTAACATACACTACTTCCTAATTCTTAATTTTAGTCTGTGAGCCAGTGGGCTTTTGGTGCTCTAATACTAAGATATCTTGGTGATAATGATCTTTGCTCTCCCCTGCCATTACCATTAACTTTTAAAAAGAAATCTTATTGGAATGTGGCTTTAATACATAGGTTATGTTACCTGAGTAAGCACCATCTGTAAATATTATTGTTCAATACATGGGGAAACCACAGCATATTCAGCCTTTTGACAGACTTATTTAGATTATTATCCTTTAGGTAAACTATATCAGCACAAAATGGACAACTAATTTCAGGTCTGAGATGCTTTTGATTTATATTAAACTACTTATACTTGCTGCATGCCTCCACAGTACAGTATTTCATTAATCACATAACAAGCTTTCAGTTTCTTCAGTGAACATGCTCACTCTAATTATTGCTACACTGCACAGATGTTTTCTCATTTAGATGCTCAGTGCATAGTGATTTGTTACTCTCATTGTCAGACATTTCATTTTATATTATATCACTTCTAATGTCCTTTCTGTTTTTGAGCCTTTGGGTTAATATGTCTATTTGAATAACAAGTATATAAATAAAAACAGATCAGAAATGTGTACTTTCAGCTAACAAGGGCTTGTCTGAAAATATGAGTATTTCTTTTAACAGTAGAATCATTCCACTAAGAACTGTGAAATGGGCAAAATCCTAATGTCAGATACAATTATTCCATATTTACACTGGTTAGGCCATAATTTTCTATATACATCTAATGTGTACTATATACTAATTCTTATTGTAATTACTAATAGTACGTCTTTCTATCAATTTTGCATGACATAAAATGCAAAGGAACAAGTACACTTTTAAACTGTTAATTATAACAACACATATGATATGCTGAACAATGCAACCGACATTTCTTGTGCATTCATAAGAAATGGAGGAGTAGAGTTTGGAAGATGTTTCATTTTGGTATGATGGAATGAAGTTTGTTGTGACAGTAGATTGATTCATATTCAGATGAAATTAATACGGATATATGATTGATTAGAAAATAAAAGAATGTACATATTTTATTTGAAAAAAATTCCCTGGGGTTTTGTTTTCTAATAAAGTTGAAGTAAATTTAGAAAGAATATAGTGAAAAAACAAAGAAAAGGAGACTCATAAATGGGCAGTCTATGGGGTTAGAACTCCTTTTACAGCAGTACTTAAAATGTTTTGTTAGGTAGTAAGGGTATGTGTTATTCAGAGTTTAAAATAACCTTCTACTGAAAATACAAAAACATGAAGAAGCCGACAAAAATCAAGGCAAGAAAAAGAAAAGTAAACCTATGAAATGATTTCAAATAGTTTATAAATATTCTGTGTATCTCAGAACATTATTCTTCCAGTTAAAGGTGACAGAAAAGCGGGCAGCAGAACATAGTACATATATTCTAGTATTCAACTTTTCTCCATGTCAGAAAAAGTTTTATTTACAAAACAACTGCCTTGTAGATCCTTAATTTCCAGTGCAACTCAGAGAAGAGCAGTGAAGCCCTCCGCGCAGTCAACCTTTGGCACAGGTTTCCGAGCCGTGGATACAGTGGTGCAGTCCTGCAAAGCCGAAATATTCCCTTTTTGGAGCGGTTGGCATTTCATTTTCTGTGGCCAACGGCTGCGTAGAAAATGGGATGTTTCAGAAGACGAGCGAACCGCACGAGCTGGATTCGGCCAGGATTGATGTCCAAGTGTTACCGCGGCTCCCAGAGCGCAGAGACGGTCTCGCTGCAGCCACGCTAGCCACGAGCTTCAGGGCGCGTAAGAGCTGCCACAGTTGCTAAACAAAGAAGTTTAAGGGCGCACGCTTTTGAGTGGGCGAGGGGAACAAGGGCTGTTTCACAGAAAGCCTCCCGGCCAGGCCTTAGCTCCTTCTGCA